AGAGACTTTTAAAACTTTTCTCTTACTGTAAACAATGACGCAGCGGTGGCTGGCGGTGAAAGCGAAACTTATAACAGGAACTGCCAGCACATCATCTCTGGCTACCAAACCGGATGTAACCACAGACTTTCCTAAAATGATTGCTGCAGATGACCAACCTTAATGACAAGTTTGATACATTGCAAAAGGAGCTTAATGAAACTTCAGCAAAAACAGAGAGGGTAGCCAAGAAGATGAAACAGTTGACGTTAAGATCAAAGAGATTGAACAAAGACTGGGGGTTGTGGAAAAAGAGAAAATCTCTTGGAATCAGCAATTGTTACTTCTTCAAATGGAGAAATCAGCGTATGTCCTGAGATTTCATTCCGGAGCAGAAAGATGAGAATTTGAAAGAGACTAAGTCAAGAGCTGGTTTATCATACGTAACCAGAATGTATAAAGAAATACAAGCTACCCGGGGAAGTATATGTGAAATTCGCAAAAAAGTCCACAAGGGATATAATTTTGAAAACGACTAACCAAAATGTCTTGAAAATCAAAGGAGAACAAATTAAAGTTTTAAAAGATATTCCATTTGAAATTAGGAAAAGTAGGAGACAGTACAGAAACTTAGCATTGTTTTTGCAAAACAAATGCCACTCCTTACAGATGGATAGTACTGGAAGGCCTTATCTTCAACTTCAATGGCAAAAAAGAAAAGATTGACTTTGTTCATAAAGCAAAAATGTTCTTGAAGCAACAACAGAAAGCGACAGATGGATCTGAGAAAGTGGAGGATAACAAAGATGTAGAAGAAGAAGATGATGATGAAGTTGGAGAAAGTTCTGATACCTCTTTGAGTAGCTCGGCAGAGTCTTTGAATACTGAGGCAGAATTAGGGGATGCTGCCCCTAAACAGCTAAAAATTAAATTGGACTTTGATAAGAAGCTCAGAGGAAAGAAACAACGAAAATAGATTAACTTTGATAGTCTGATATCCATTGTTAATGCATAAATTTAAAGCTAAGATGCACACACTACAGTCAAATATGTTTGTGATTGCTTGCTTTTTAATTTGATATTGTTATATTATTAACTCTCACGCTTTACTACTTACAAATACAAATACAATACATTTATTGGCATAAAGCTTTACTACTTTGATAATAGGGATATATCAACAATTTAAATTTCTGTATTAAGGATCCTTGTTACTAATAATTTTAGGTTGTTCCCATCCCCTGACCCTGTAGATCTGTAGTTTAGAAAAGCAATAAAAATGTGTTGTTGTTTTTTTAAAAAAAGATCCACTCAAAGCATATATTCCCTTTGCTTGATAGAAACTCAGGCTGTTCAAATCAAACCTATGTTAGAATGCTGCACACAGGAGAAAATGCACAGGTTACAGTACTTACCGTGAATTTTTGCACAGCAGTTTGCAAAGCCCAACAGAATATCTTAGACACAAATGAACAGTAGAAATGTATAGTAGTAATGTTTTTTTAACTTAAGATATAAACTGGACTGGCATAAATAGTATATTAATTTTATAAGATAATATTGTTACAATTATGGTATTTATTCATCCAAAACTGCCTTTTTGTACATAATTTGTTTAACTTTTAATGTATATTTGTATCATATTCTTAATTGAAATTTATGTAAGTGTAATATCTTGTCTTGTATTTATACTGGTCTATGACCGTAATAAAGGATACTACTGCTATCAAAAAGCCACTCTGAGGAGTTCACCCGAGGAAGACAATTGGAGCCTTAGGGGATGTTGGGAGATATGGATGTTTTAGTAAATAAATATACAAGGCAGCTTCTTACCTAAGGACAGTGGAAGTTCCTCCAGTTTCAGGCTTCAGACTCCTTCCAATTTAAGTAGCTCTTCTGCTTAAGCTAGACAAAGTCTTCTTAAGCAGGAAGAACTTTGCTTGGTGGAGTAATAGGGACAGATCAGAGTTAGGGTGTCATCTATATTATTGACTGTTATGCTAATATCTTGGACATCAATCCAGGTTCAGACCTGGTGTTGGAGCAGACTGCTCTGTTTTCCCTGGTCTCCAGTATAAAGGCAGAGAGTGTATGACTGTTAATTACTGTGGATCTCTCAACGGCTTTCGATATCATTAACCATCGTATTTTTCTGGATCAGTTGACTGGGATGGGTGCTATGTTTTGGTAGGTTCTGTGCTTCCAGAACATGCTGCTAGGGAACTGTTGGTCAGCTTTGTAGCATATATTCTATGGAGTTGCACAAGGTTCCATCTTGTCTTGTGTGCAGTACAGGAAACTGATGGATGAGGTCATTTTGAGGTTTAATTTACCAACTCTGGCAAAAAGGGTAAAAAAAACAATCCCAGAGGTGGATGTGACTGAATATGCTGGGTTGGGTCATGGTCAGTTATTTAAAGTCTGTCAGACTAAGGTGCTCTTTGTCAGTCATCTGTATGTGGTTGCAACCTCCTGTTAAAGGTCATTTTGGCAGTAACAGGGTGCTATTAGATTAAGTCTGCAGAGATATACTTCAGTCTCAGGAAGAATGTTATATTGATATACCTTTAATCTATTTTGTCTGGTTTGTTTGAGAAGTGGAGTCTGATTTCAGTCACCGGTTCGAATTTAGATGAGTTCAGATTACAGCAGCAGTGTTGTTAACTATAGAAACACATTTTGCCACTGTTTAAAGCATTCCATTGGCTACCAAGTAGTTTTCTGTATCCAATTTAAAGTGCTGGTTCTTATTTTTTAAAATTCTAAATGGCTTAGTTTCAAACTACGATCTGGGAGATCCGGGTTCAAATTCTCACTCTGCCATGAAAGTTCACTTGGTGACCTTGAGCCAGTCACACACACTCAGCTTAATCTATCTCACAGGGCTGTTGTGAGGATAAAATGGAGGAGAGGGGAACGATGCTGCTTTGATTCCTATTAGGGAGAAAGATCGAATATAAATGATGTAAATAAATAAATCTGAAGATGTGGGGAGGACAGATAAAATATTGGTTGGTGAGTGGGAAGGAGAGAAGGAAGTGGGGAAGGGGGAAAGGATAAGGGGGCTGCCAGGAGGAAAGAAAGAGGAAATAGTGTGGGGAAGAACATATAGGGGGAAATGAAGTAACTGCTACAAGTCCTTGCTGATATTCCATGCCACTGCCATGGGCCTGGCCTGGCAGTCAGCACAATGTAACTGGGCCCTCTGGGTAAAGGCTGTCAGGGAGAGGGGAGTGAAAGCTGAAGACAAGGGTCAAATAAAGGTTGGCTGGCTGGTGGGTTGGAAAGAAGAGAAAGAATCAGGAAAAGGGAAGAGACTATGGGGGCTTTCAGGGAAGGGAAAAAGAAAATAGGGTAGGCGGAAATGAAGTGTTCCCCACAAGTCCATGTGGTCCCCTTGCTTGTTTTATCTATTACTGATCTTTTAGTGTAATCAGATTAATGTTTGTTTATTTAATGAATTGAACTATTTAGGATTATTTTGTATCTTTTAATGTGTTCAAATTGGCATGAAAGTGTTTAAATAGCGTGTTGTTATCTCTCCTTATATATAATTGAATAGTGGGTGCCAAAGTTCTAATTCTAAAATGCACTCCCTTAGTGTATGGCTGATGGCACTGCTCCTCAGCATATATCGCCACCAATCAGAAGGCAAAGCCCGGGTCCTGCCCACACCACAACTGCTGCGACAACCTGGTCTTTTGCATATGGAAGCTGATTGGACTTCAGTCCATTCCACACCTCAAACTCCCCCCCCCCGCAAGGCAGTTGGAATTTTCAGTTGCATAACATACCTCATAGGGGAGAGGAGAATGGGTAACAATGGTTACCACTCTCCAGGTGAGGGCTACAGATAACTCAAACATACAAATGCTCTTCAGGTAGCAGAGATCAGTCCCTCTGGAGAAAACAGTGGACTCTGTCATTAAACCCTGCTGAGGTCGCCACAGGAAACTGACACTGTTTGCCCAAAGCCAGAGCACTCTCCCAGAGCCTCTTTCTAGATCTCGTTGTATTTATTTCCGCAACGGGCATTATTTCTAGTACATATAATAAATAATCTGGAACTGTGTTCTTTCCTTTTTTTCTCCTCCAAAAAAAGAGAGAAAAAAATGGTTCCTGCAGATTGACTAGTGAATCCCCTTGCAGCATTGTGTGTGTGTGAGAGTCTCATTTACCTAGCTACCTGAATAATTATGAAAACAATTTAAAGTGCATCTTAAATCAGCTTCCTTGTTTATTCCTGTGTTGCGCTATGGCACAATAATTTCAAGATTACCTGGAGGATCTTGCATTAAAAAAAATGCTGGAAACTTCTTTTGGTCTCTTCTAATATTTTTTTGGAATCATACAGATTTTACATTTTTAATGAAAATTAAAAAATGAAATAATATTAAGAAAATTATATATGCCATTTTATACTAGTGGTTTGCCTGAAAGAGGAGCAAGTAGTTTAGATCCTCATCCTTAAAATACAAAATGCTTTGTGGCAGACAGTGAGATATGGACTGTAACATTCTACATGTACTACAAATAATGTATGTTTCTTAGGATGTATTTTAAGTGTTTCAACAGCATGGATGTAATTGATGATGATTATTCTTTATTTTACTTCCCATATCCTCTCCCTGTAAGTACATGTATGTATCATATTTTGGTTTGGTTTTCAGAGGAGAAAAGGTTAGGTTAGGTTAGTCAATTCCCCCTCAATTGTATGTGTGTGGCCCTAGGAAGCGATTGTAATAAATTGTATATGTAAAACTGCTCAGAGCCCTTAGGGGGTGAGCGGTCTACAAATCGAAATAATAAATAAATAAATAAATAAATAAAATCTAAATGTGCGTCATACTGGGGAAATTTATTTTAATATTGGTTAATGTGTGCATGAAAGAAGAAAAAGTTGTGTAAAGTTAGAAGACTGGTTGGCATAAAAGAACTAAATTTCATGTCAGAACGTGTATGTGAAATATATTCTTGGCATCTTGGAAAAAAAGGCTCTATAATTGTATATGTTTTTCTAGGGTCATGATGAAGAAGCTGTTGTGGATACAGGCAAAATCAGCTCCACCATCAACACAAATTTTGAGAAAGAGGAACTAGAAAGTAAGTGTCTTTCACACAACTTTCATCAAGAGGCAGATCTCGTAGGTGAGGTCTGGGGGGAGGCAGCCATTTTGACCATGTGCTTGCCTAGAGAGCTGGAGCAAGCTTCAAGGTAATGATAACTCTGTAGAGATATAGAACTCCTAAGCTAAGGAGCCTGTCCTATTTTCTAACATCTGATAGGGCATGTATAGAGAGAGGGACAGAGGATTTGCATTTTTGCCCATTTCTTTTGCAACCCTTGCTCTGTCTGGTGCTGTGCTAAAAGTAAGCTTGTAAACATTTTCTTTTTAGTAAATACTTTATAACTTTGGATGCTGGCGGGGGTTCTCTGTACCACATAGACCTCCACCGTCTCGGACACGCAATTTTAAAAGAAGTTCCTGGAGGAATTAGGCAGTTGGCAAGCGGCTATTCCTCCAGGGACACACAAGGCCGTAAACTGTCCCTGTGGTGACCAGGCACTGGGCAGCAGGAGATACAGGCAAGGCCTCAGAAAAGGAAAGGAAAGCTGGCAGTCCTGACTCTCCCAGTGGGCAATTCCACACAGAGGTCAGGTGGTGGAGAAGAGCTACCCTGAGAGTAGAAGAAAAGCCTCTCCTGGTCCTGAGAAAAACCTAGGAAGGCAGGGAGGAATAGGGCCTGCAGGCGCATTCCACCACAATGCCTATAACAATATCTGCCCTAATTATACAAGCAGAAGTTTGAGAAAGTTCCCAGGAGCTAGGTGTGTATACCCATGGACAGTAGTGACATTTCACACTGGTTAAAATAAATTAGATCAAAGGAAGGGAACAGCAGTATTCTGAACTCACTAGTTTTTTCTAACTAGCAGGTATCACAAACATAAATGGGATGGATACATATCGCTGTTCTGGGACTATTTGTGCCCCATCACCATGGAAAGAATCTAGATAACATTTTAGAGATTGATAACTGATGAGTCTGTCTGCAGACTTTATATGCTTATATACGTAGTTAATATAAATTGTATACATGATTAGGGTTATTCAGGGTTATTATGTAGAAATACTAACTTTAGAAAGTAGTTGAAGTAAATATAAGATGTTGGAGCTTGTGGAACTTTCCCAGTAACAACAACACTTTGCTGTGGGCCAAGGAGTCTCATGCTAACTTAAGAACTAATTATGCTAGAGGAATGCTCATTGCTGTGAAGGAAAGTGCTCTGTTAGTGGAACATTTCAGCAGGATTATTTGTTATTTTTATAAGGAATGTATACTGCCACTCAAGAGACCTGCTCAGGATGGCTCACAAGTAAAAACAAGGCCTGTTCCTAAGGATGGTGGGCTTAATGCAGGCTGATTTCAAGAGGATGCCTGGCTGAGGGTTTGTGTGCCGCAGTTCAAATAAAGCAGATTTCTATCCTGGACCTGCTGGTGTGGACTCCAAACTTTACAATACTAATTAAACTATTCCTAGGAAACTGCTTAATTGCAATGAGTAACAATGTCCTTTAAAATAATAGTAGCTGTTTGCGGAATAAGGAACTACCTGGTTGGTCAAATAATTGCTGAAAATGTAGCTCATCTCCTCTGCACAAACAAATCCAAATGAAATATCTTGTATGGTGACATGGGTGAAAACTATTGACAGATTGCAGGCGTGCTCTGTATTTAAAATAGGAGCATGCTTCTTATCTCACTTTTCACTAAGCGTTTGGTCTAGGTTAGAAGGAAGACAAAGCTGGCATTTTTTTTTAAATGGGCAAGTCTGCCAGCTCTTGCTTACATGACAAAATTTGGCTCTAGATATATCCTTTAAAAAGGTGGCTTTTTCTGTCTGTTTTTTTCATGTCATAATTTCAAGATAATTCCAGAGGAATAGCATTGAAGAGAGGCTTTTCTCACTTATGTCGCACTTCTGTTTTCCTTTACCAGATATAAATAGTATCTGAATTTAATGGTTCTTTTATCTCTGGTTATCTCTAAAATATTTTCATAAAACAATGGCAAGCATTTTCAGTTTAAATTTCTGTTCTTAACAGCAACTTGTTGTGCATATGTGTGCCAGATGTTTCCATAGTGAGAGTGAAGAAATTATTCTTTTTCTGGAGGTATTTGGCTCAGTTAGGCTGCATTTCAGTGTAGTTGAAGGGACTTTTGGTTAAAGAAAAGGAAATCTCAACTGGTGGCAGTTCCTGCGGACCTACAGTTTGTGAGATAGCATACCCAAGGCTCCAGGGTTTAAATCTCAGATGGAAGAAGCCCTTCAGCTTTAGTTTTCTACATCTGCCTTCTTTCTATTTTAAACTGTGGCTGCCTGTGATTTGCTTCCTGGTATTAGAACATTAGATTTCTGTTGAAGCCAACTACATTTGATTTGCCCTATAAGGCTTACGTAATGTCAGATTGTATACTTAATAATAGTGTATTGCAGCTGGAGGTTTCTTTGGAAAGTGAAATTTCTAATGTATTATACTGTTCCATAAATGAAGTTTGTTAAAAGTTCTGAATGGTTTGCCTTGGATTTCAGGAGTACTCTTTCTGCGTGTCCCTGTGGCCTTGTATAATTTATTAATTGAGCCAGCCATTGGCCATGACAAGGCATCTGGACACGACCAGTTCTCTACGGGACACAGCAGATGTAACATTGAGTTCAGTATTATTCCACAGCCCCCTTTAAGAACAACAACAACAAAAAAGCAAACTAAAAGCATCATTAGACTGCCAGTCTGAGCAAGAAAGTATGGTTTTGGATGCCCTTTCCTTCTGATAATTTTAAAGCTTAAAATAAAAGCCCTTCTGTTGCTTTTTCCCTGATGGGAAAGGGAGTGAGAGGGGGTGCACTTTGGAGCACATAAATGGCAGGAAAGGGAAGATTAAACTGTCTGCCACACCACTCTTTGAAGCCTCTGGGGCTGCTCATCAGTAATCCCCCTGTGGGGTGTGTGTGCGTGTGTGCGTGCTACTATTTTCCTTGCCACCATTGCCTATTTCGGTTTCTTTGCAGGTCATTAGTTATATTGGTTTTTCTATAATTGAAACAAGTCTTGAAAGCTGCCACATAAACTCACTTTCTGAGTTAGCAGTATTTTTGAATTGTTTTACAAGTACTGTCCCATGAAAAGAATTTGGGTTTTCAATTTTATGTTGTGCCCCACTTATGAAAAATGACTTCACATCAGTGATTTTACCTGTATAGTCTTCTCTGTTGCCTTGAAGTTCTTCTGGATATAATATTCCTCCAAAAGTGGATTAAAGGGATGATTTTTTCCCCTTACCAATTACTCTCCTTTGGATAATCAGTGTGTCTTAGACAGTATGGCAAGATTCTAATTTGCCACTGCAGACCGGTGATATACTCTGTGGCAGATTTATCTGCGTTTTGAATTGTACGCTCTCCCAAAGGAATTTTCTGTTTGTTGGAAAACAATACAGTATTAGGAGTGGAAAACAATACAGTATTAGGAGTGGCCTTTATCAGCATTCTACCGTTATCTAGCCTGAAAACTCTGTTTGTTATAAAATAAAAATAATTCTAAGTGTTGACTGTAGAATCTAGATTATGTCATATAATTAATCCAAACTTCTTAAAAACCTGACAAAATCAATCAGGAAAGAGATATAATACTGCTTCTGATTTATATTTGTACCTCTATTAAAAGATTTCTTTTTTGTATCATTAGTCTGAGTTTAAAAATATTGCAGAGGTCTTGCCTTCTCGACTTCAGTGAAAATCTAGTGTATAGTCACTCTGAGTGGCCTTTTATGTTATTCAGGAGTGCACTTGCAATCTTTGTCAATGTAAAGCACAAAATTCAAAAAACAAGAACATTCTAACATCAAATTAAGGAGTCCCACTTAATATCTACTCCATATAAGCGTTTTCTACAATCACTCTTGCTGTGCTCACTTAGGACTTGGCCTCCATGTTGTTTTTACTTACATTTTAACTTGCTCTTTTAGCCTTAAAATTCTTCTTCCTTTTCTATGGGATGAGGCCAGCACTGAGGATGAAGTCTTGTCTTTAAGAGTATATCCCTTTAAATTCTAAACCTTTTATCTTAAGCTGCATGATACTATCTTGTTGAATCATAAGTATTAAGCAAAAAATATTCAAGGGCCCCGGTCACACGGGCAGGAAACTGCGGGGGAGAAGCGTGGCTGTTTGCCCTGGGGTAAACTACTGCGCAGTTACTCGATCAGACCTCCCATGGAGGTCCTGTGGAGGTACCGTGGAGGTTCCATGGCAAGGGAGAGGTGCTGATCACAGGACAAGCCGGTGCGCAACGAAGAAGCGCGCACCGCGGCAAAATGTTTTGTTTTTGTGTGTACACGACTAATGCGCATGCTCCGTTGGGTGCGTGTGCGCATCCACAGAGACGTGAACAAAAAACCCCACCTTATTTGCAAGGGGACATGGGCGGGCGCCGGATGCCACCGGAAACGCGATCAGACGCCCGCCCTTGCCCCGCAGTTTCCGGAAACTAGTACCTCCGAGGTACTAGTTTTTTGCCACGCAGTTTCGGCTGGAAGCCTCGGTTGTGCCATGGGAGTGCTACGCTTCCCAGATGTGCTGGTGAGATCGCGCCCGGAAACTCCGCCTGTTTTCCGTCTCACTTGTGTGGCTTCTGTTCCGTGTGACCGCAGCCATAGATTATCAGGGCCTCATACTTGAATTACTGTGTTTGTACATTCTGAAGGTTTAGTTATTTAGTTTTGAGGTGAAGGAAAGGGAGACTGTTGAACAGACCTGTCCTCAGCATGTGAATTCATACATGGGGATTTGCTGTTCTGTAGTTCACTTGTTTGTGACCTTACAATGTTAGAAACATGTTCATCTATCCTTGTGTCCCTCTCAACATCCTTCATCTCTAAGCCTTGTTTTACCCTTCCCATGACAGGCCAGCATTCCTAATCTCTTTCTGTAACCCAAATGAAAGCATGTAGGAGACAAGCAGATGCTCCGTGTTCAGCTAGAGAACCAACATTGTGTAGTGGGTGGGTAAGAATGTTAAATTAGAATCTGGGAAACCCAGGTTCAGATCCTCACTCTACTATGAAGCTTGCTGGGTGATTTTGGGACAGTCAATAATGAAAGAGTTTTTGTCCTAGAAAAACCATCAAATGTTTGTATAATAAAATTTAAACAGCTTGTGTTCCTTTTGGTATATAGTGACTTAAACCACCACCCCTCCTTTCTTATACTTGTTCTAAACCCCCCAGAGAGCTTTGGCTTTGGGTGGTATAGAAATGAAACAGTAATAAATAAATAATTATAGAACTGGATTCCTTTTTAAAGCCTAATATGTTGCACAACTCATTTGTAGGTCACAGAGCTGTGTATATAGGTGTCCACGTTCCTTTTGGAAAGCAAGGCCGACGGCGTCACAGGCACCGTGGACATAAACATCATAGACGAAGAAAAGAAAAGGAAACTGATAGAGAAGATGGGCGAGAATCTCCATCCTATGGTAAGAACTTTTATTAATTTTTAACATAACTTTACATTACAGAAGGCAACAGTAAAAAAACAGTTATTGTTTGTCACTGTAATTTTAGTTGATAATGTAGTGGGATTCTATGGATGTATTCTACTAATGTAACCATATTTTAGGTTTCCAAGGCTTGTGTTTGTGGTCTGTGTAGTACACTGTACCATATAGCAAGTACATTATGCCTCATAAGATCTACTGTATTATCATACAAAATCATTTAGCTTATTATTAGTCAGTTTCCACTCAGATGTGTTTTGTTGTTGTTTTTATTAAAACATTTTAGTACTGCCTTTTTCACAAAACTGCAAAGTCAAAGTATACATCGGACACTTTTAAGCCAGCTCAATGCAAAATAATTATTTACCACTGTAATATCTGGTTATAGAGCCCTCTGACCCAGCTGTGCATTTTGTACATACCCTCTTGGACCCTTCCTTAGGTTCCCTGCCACCACGTGGGGATTCTTGAATTGTTAGATTGCCTCAGGTCATCCTATATTTCATTCCCTGAACATTAGGCTATGTGCAGGATCTCCCACCCTTCTCAAGTAGCTATGGCAAAGTGTTTAAAGCAGCTGTTTTTGGGGAAGATAATCCAGCAAGCCTCTCAGAGCCATAAGTACAAATGCACAGGTTTATTTCTGTGCACACACAAAGCAGATATTGGGGGAATCTACAAAGACAAAACTACACAATAGAAAAGGGGGAAAAACAAATTGACAAAAGCACTTCATCTCTTCAGCACATTCCTCTACTTTGGAAGGTGGATCACCCTTCCCCACAGCCAGGATTTGTAGTTGGCAAAAGGTGACAAAAGCTTGCTTCTTGGGATCTTTATTTTCCAAAGTTCTCTGATGCAGGGAGTTCTGTTTTTGGACCAATCGTAACACGGCAGTCCATTCAAAACTCAAGCCAAAGGAGAATTTGCCTGATAAATGTTTTTCCTTGGGTCCTAATGTGTTTCAAACATGGCCTGAAAATGATGTTGTGGGCAAACAGGGAGAGAGGTATGTAGGCTGGGGAAATTTTTCATTGATCCCCACTGGGTTGACCTAGCTCCATGGAGTGGAAAGTTGTGCTTTCATTCTAAACTTAAAATAGGAGAGGCCTATTTTTTTCATGAGATACTGAGGTCTATCCATTACAGAAACTACCTAAAATATTTTAGCATGCCAACCATCCTCAACTAGCCAGCCAAATGCATTTAATAATCAGTGCATTTTAATTTCCTCCCAAATAGAATGGTGTGACAGACTGCACTTTTGAAAGCTTAGAAGTGCTTTGTAAACAGATAAAAGACTGTGAAGGGTTAATTCTTCACAGAGCCAAAGAACCTTGAGTGACAGGCTGTTCCAAGAGATCTGATTGGTTAGCATCAGCTGAGCAGAGAAAGACTTGTGAACTGGATGCTGAAGGAGAATTGAGTCTGATTTCAGCCTCAGCTGATACTAGTTTAACACAGATGGAGAACTGGGGGAAAGGTGGCAAGGAAGTTTGGGAAGTAGATGAAGACTCCCATTTGGGGCAAAGAAAGGGGATAGATCTTCTAGCGAGAGGAGAATTTCCCTACCCAGTGAAACAGTGTACCAGCCTTCTGGAAACCAAAAAAGCCAGAAAATACTTAAAGAAAGTGTACTGGAGTGTTTGGGAAAACACTGGAACAAAAGCCTCTCAGCATAAGGATTTAAGTAATAGCTTCGGAAACTCTCATTAGCCTGAAACATAAGAACTAGGGATGGGCAGTTTCCAGACTTTACCCCGGACCGAACTGAACCAAACTGACCCCATTTCCGGACCAGTTCTCAAACCAAACTGCGGCTGGTTTGCGAACTGGTTTGCAAACAGGTCTGGATGCAGAAAAAAAACCCCAGGAGGTCCCAGGGGCCCAAATTCTCAGCTTAATTCCAGCTCTCTTAGATGTGCCCACCAAGTTTGGTCCCTCTTGGAATTTGGGCAGCCGAGCTACAGACCCCCAAAGAGACAATGCTTTTCAATGGGACATCCACCCCTGCCAATTCGGGAGTGACCAAAACTGACCCAGGTGAGCTGGAGGCCTCCAACTCGCACAGCCCATCCCTGGCATGGCTCTCCACGTGCCCCCCAAATCACATGCCTGTCGGGACTGGGTGGTACGAGTAGCAGACCCCCAAGACCGGTGCCCCCTGGGAAACTGCTTCTGGAGGACCTGTCCAGTGACGGTTGCAGACAGTCCAGAGCAGAACTGGTTCAGCTACAGGCACCCAACTCCCAGAGGACTTCCCTGGGGACCACCCACATGGTTGTGGGTGCCTCTGTCTTCATGGGGCCAACCACCCAGCCCTTTTGACATGAGGACTGGTTGGGGCCCAGCCTCCCACCCTGCCTGGGAAAGTGACAGGATGGGAGATGCTTTTTCCCCAGACCCATTTACCCTTAAACAGCAATGGGATCACTGACCAGGACAGAACCTCCCACCCAGCCTGGGGCGCGGGGAACACTTGCACAGGGATGGGTGGTGCTTTCTCCACAGCCCACCCTCCACCCACTGGCAAGGTGGCCTCCTCTCCCAGGGACAATTCTGTAAGCAGGACATGTGTGAGTCCCTTACCAGAGCAACGAGAGCTCCCAGCTCAGGAGGATTCTTTCCTGAACGGTGATCACTTTGCTGTCAGGCGTGTCAGGGCCAGCACCTGGGCATGTGGATGGGTAAGGCTGCAAGTCCCAAACCCCTGGAGACAGGGACCCTGCATCGGACCCCGTGGTTATGATCCCGGGCCATGGCAATGTGACCTTCAAACTCAGGAGGATTCGGTCCTGACCAGCAATCACTTTTCTACCAGGCAGGCAAGGGGGACATGGGTGGATGGATGGGTGAGGTGGGGAATCTCAAATCTCTGGGGATCCCGTTGTGATGGTGCCGGGCCACGGCAACATGACCTCCCAGCTCGGGAGGATTTGGTCCTGACCAGGCAGGCTGGGCGGACTGATACATGGTGGGCAGCCCGTGCCGGCTCATGGTCCTCCTGGAGGGGATGGCGTACCATGGGGCCACACATCATAGTAGCCTCTGGAAGCCCACATCCTCCACCAGAGAGAAAGGTCCGATGTGCTGAGTGATCACTTCATGAGCCCTGGCCCTCATTGTTTTTCCAGGACCCAATGTGCATGATCTCTTGGAGGATGGCTTGCCTGGGGGAACCCATGGATGAGGCCAGAGACCCCACTGTGGCGGCCTGCCCCTCCTGGCCTCCCTTTCCCCGGCTTGGAGTCTGCTTTGGCCATCATCACCACCCTTGCCACTAGCAATGGTGGTCTCCTCCCTCTCATGTGTACTATGCCCTCTCAGCCCATCTGGAACCAGTGGGAGCTCTTGTCCAGTGACCAAGACCAGCCCTGTGGACACTGCAGGGGAACCTGATGCGGAGGCTGCTGATGATGTGCCCAAGCAGGAGGGCACTGGTGTGGGAGAACACCAGTGTGGCCTGTCTTCCCATTTGCCCGTGTCCATGACCATGACCCCTTCAGGCTCCCCTCATGTCCCCACACATAAGACCCAGGTAGTGGGGGTGAAAGAGTGGCTGCTCAAGTTGCGGGGAAATGCTGTGAGGGTCAGTGGGTTGGGAGCCTCGTTGGCGGGGGGGGGGGGCCTGAAGGCAGAGACTCGACCCACCCAGGGAGAAGGTTTTTTCCCCCTTTCAGCAGGGGCAGTTAAGGCAAGTCCCCACAGCCAGCCGTCAGAGGAGACAGGGGGACCCAAAGACAGAGACTCAACCCACCCAGGGAGAAGGGTTTCTTTATTTTCGCAGGGGCAGTAAAGGCAAGCCATGCAGGCGGTGTCAAGGACAGTTAGACCCTCCAGAAAGTGCTTCGAGAGCAGGATGCCCACTTGCCACAGAAGACTAGGAACTCCCAAGTCCGAGATTGCAGTGACTCAAGCAAAAGGGGGGGGGTGCTCTTTCAAAGGAGAGGAAACTCAAGCCCCGCAGTCAGTGCCAAGGGCAGTCTGCAAACCTCTCCCAGGAAACGGTGAGAGAATGGGGTGCCCACTTTCCAGGGCACAGAGAGGACTCTGAGGTGAGAGACTTCAAGAACCCAGGCAGGTAGGCAGGCAGGGTGCAGGAAGGGGAAAAAACCCACAGCCAGTGCCCAGGGGACTTTGCCACCTCCCCAGAAGGTAGTTTGAGACTTGGTTGCCAAAAGGTGAGGGGAGAGAGAGAACTCTGAAGTGAGAGACTTCAAGAACCCAGGCAGGCAGGCAAGATGTAGGAAGGGGAGAAAACCCCACAGCCAGTGCCCAGGGGACTTTGACACCCCTCCTGAAGGTGGTTTGAGACTTGGTCACCAACATGTGAGGGGGGGGAGAGAGAGAGAACTCTGAGGTGAGAGACTCCAACAACCCAGGTAGGCAGGCAGGCTGCAGGAAGGGGAAAAAACCCCATAGCCAGTGCCCAGGGGATTTTGCCACACACCCTCCCCAGAAGGTGGCTTGAGACTTGGTTGCCAGCAGGTGAGGGGAGAAAGAGCGAGAGAGTGAACTCTGAGGTGAGAGACTTAAAAAACCCAGGCAGGGTTTGTTCTGGAGGGCCAGCAAACAGGTCATGGAGGCCAAGGCCTTCCTTAATGTTGCCTCCTGCTACTGGTATTCAGATGCTTATTGCCTGTGAATATGGAGGTTCCTGTTAGTTACTACAGCTAGTAGCCATTGATTGATCTCCTCCGTGAATATGTCTAAATCCCTTTTAAAGCCACCTGTGTTCATGGCCACCATCATGTCCAATGACAAGTGAATCCTTCAGTTTAATTGCTACTTGAATGAAGAGGTATTTCCTTTAGTACACCTTGAATCTATTACCTATCAACTTCATTAGGTACGCCTGAGAGAGAGAGAGAGCATTTCCTATCCACCAGCCACCCTATGCATGAATTTATAAACCTTTATCATGTCTTCCCTTAGCTGTCATTTTTCTACACTGAACAGTCCCAGACTCTTCTGTCCTTCCTGATGGGAAAGGTGCTCCAACACTTTTATCATTTTGATTGTCCACTTATGTTCTTATAAAGAGAGTGTGGGTTTGACAGATGTTTGCTTGGCTGCCTGCTTGGTTTTGAACAAAGTGCACATGAAACAAGGGTGTAATCCTGTGCCTGCTTTTGGTAAATCCCATTGAACAGAGTAAGAGTTACTTATGAGGAGACATATATAGGATTATATTGTAACTGCTTTAAAGAGATAGTTTAGAATTAGAGCAATGCAAAGTTAATAAGGGGAGGAAGTTGTGTATATATACTGGAGGCAAGGGGCTGAGATTTGTAAATAAATGTCATAAACACTTTTGGGAATTTGGAATAAGAATTTCAGTTTAGTAAGGAAGCCAAAGTATTTGATTAAAAAACCCTCCTATATTCATGTAAACATAATGGAACAGCATGAGTAGTTCTAGTAAGAGTTATTGGCTTTATTTTATGTCTACATTGATAACCTGACTTTAAAACAGAAGCTCATTTCCTATTTTCCCTTGAGAAGGATTATGTTCAGTGAAATCCTTGACTACTGCTCTGACCATGGTCTTGGAAAGATACTGCCCAAATTTATGTACCCTCTTTCGACTATCTAAATAGAGTGCAACAGAGAGTGGAAAGCTTTGTTGGAAAGGTCTTGGCTAATGGGTTGGTTATCAGTCAGTCTGAAATGAAAGAACTCCACTGTCAGAATATTTGAGTCTAAGTGATTTGAAACTATATTTAGAAATCTTGATACTAGAACCAGAATGTTTTTGTCTCCCTCTTTCTTTCCAAGCTCCGATAGCATCCTCCAGTTCAAATTTATTTCTTACCTATTAAGGCTTTGGAGGGTCTAAGAACCTATAAGGCTGGAAAGCATAGGCTTCCTGCACAGACATGATGGGAAAAGGCACAGCTAGAAGATACATTTCCTGTTTTGTCTTGTGGAATGATACGTTTTCTTGTATATGCAGACATAGTGGCCTGCCTATGTATGGGGACACTGTAAATATTTGTAGCTGACAAGTCTGGATTGCTGTTATTATACATATCCTCTGTGAAGCCCCATGATAAGGATTTTCTTTTTTGTTTAATCAGATAACTCTATTTAGATCACAGAACTGTGATGTGTGAATATGTGTGTAACACCTAAATGCATTTGTTGCATTTCTTCATGTAGAAATGTACGCACATGAAACACTTGCTTTGTAAGGCAGCTGTATTTTTCTACGATTCCTGCTTGGGCAGGACCTGTAAATCCCCTGCACATGCTCAGCTGTATGTGTGTTGATTGGTGGCATGGCCTACAGAAGTCACATTTCTCCTTCTCCCCCCCCCCCCTCATGTGTGTCCACTTGTCAATGTTGTGTAATCTGAACAGGCCTCAAAGGTTACTTAAGTTTCATACTTCTTTTTATTCTGAATAACCAAAATATCATGAAATACGGTGAACATTTTTGAGATCTCTGTAATTGTTCATCTGCCTAACTTTATTTGTACACACTTGTGCTACTGATGTTAATAAGACTTTAGTTTCATTGGACTGTTTTTGTTTTATGTGTGGTCAGTGTAGTGTTGCCCACCCAGAATCATTGGTATTTAAGGCTTAAAAGTCTACATATGAAACCCTGCTTTGCACAGGGATTACAGTTTGTTTCAGACATTGTAGTAAAAATAATAAAATTAAGGTTAAAAAAATAGAACATTATATTATTGGCACACAACCCCCTAGGGAATGAGTGGGACAGTATGTCCAGGATTTATGATGGGGTCTGATTGACCCCAAATAACCTTTAGAATATTTTATCTATAGAAAAATTTCACTAAAAGTGCTTTGGGGGTCGGTTTTTTAAAAAACTTTTTATTAAATGCTTCAAACAAATATATAATACAGATATATAAAATATAACTGTAATACAATTTTTAGAACAGAATTCCAACACATTACAACCACACTTAACATCAGTGCAACAAAAACAATAAAAATAATATTAACGTTAAAAATAAAAGTAATAAAAAACAAAACAAAAAATCAGCTGTAACAACAAGCTCTCAACTGTTACAAAACAAGAAGTGTTTTGTAACAGAACTGCTGTACCTTATCACAATGTCACCAAACATGCCAATACGTGCCCGGCTCCTTTGGGGGTCAGTTATGCCCCAAACTGAGAACTTCATTAAGCTTATTTTATTTTATTTTCTTCACTGTTTTTGCAACCAAAGTCATAAACAGCAAACAAGCTAATTTAAAAGTTCAATTTAGCTTTAGGTTCTTTACATAGCAGTGAATCCTTTCATATTATGAAGCTTTACTGCAACACAGAATCCACATAGTTGTAAACATTATTTATTGCATTGTTTTTTTTCAATTTCTTTTTTTTAAATAACTCTTTATTGAATAGTTCCATACATTACAAAGTTTTCCAGCCAATACAATTTCTAAGGCTTCAGTTTCAGAAATAAGACCAGGTTGCCTGGAAGCCTAAAATGCAGGAAGGAATTCAGATGAGAATTTCAGAAACATTCCATGAACCCATGAAACCACCTTACACTCAGGGTTGTGTAACTCCTGGCCTTAAGAGCATTTTGGTAACATCATGTTGTTAACTGCGGAAGAGTTGCCGCTTAATTCTGGAACTGGGTTTGATTAATTTAGTATGGTTACTGCTTTTCTGTTGCAAGTTTTGTGTTAGTTTGGTTGGGGTTATTTTTTAGTGCTGTTTAAATTACTGGTTATTGATGCCCCTTGGCCTATGTTTGTTAACCTTTTGGGGAAAAGGCAGGATATGGATACTCGGGGGGAAAATAAATATAAGACCACTCATCCATATAGCTCAGAACTGGGGAGGGAATGTGTATCGTATAGCCAGATCTCGTCAGATCTCAGAAGCTAAGCATGGTCGGTACTTGGATGGGAGACCAAGAAAGACTCTGCAGAGGAAGGCAATGGCCAACCACCTCTGCTTCTCACTTGCCTTGAAAGCCCCTCGCTGGGGTCACCGTAAGTTGGTTGTGACGACAGCGTTTATAGCTCAGGACACCAGGGTCTCAGGAAGAGAAGAAATAGCTGTTGTTTGAGATCCTTGAGCTAGACTTTGAACCTGAGACCCTTGGGACTGGCTCAGCCACTGAACCACAGCCCCTATTGTTCCCTCTAAGCTGAGTTAGTGTGAGCTAGCTCATAGTTTTTTAGCCTCCGGCTCACACA